CTAGCCATGCTTCAGTGCGCTAAGTCATCAGTGGGCGACAACGTTCTGCCTGATATGCCAGTGAAGGCGATGCGACTGCTGAGGCTCGTTTTGGCGGTAAGTACGTAAGCATATACCTAACGGGCAGTAGCATTTTTAACACGTTCATCATTGCAGAATTTAATGGCAAGCGACCATCGCCTGCAGGATTACTTAGCTGCTGACTCCCTAGTACAATTAGTTGAAGACAGCCTGAAGATTACCTTGGAAACTGGTCATTCCCTTATAGTCCAGAAATGCATGTATCTCCATGAAGCACTTAAACTCGCTCGCTTGCTGTGTCACGACGAATCGTTGCGGAGTGACCTGCTGGAGGTAATCAGCTGTGTTCTTTGCTCTCACATCGCCGAGTTCCAAATGTTGTCGAATCCGATCAGTGCTTCCGCCGTTATGAAGAACGGCATCAGGCGAGGTGATAGCGAGACTCTGCCGAAATGGAGGTAAAGTCGCTAATTCAGCAACCTGTACAATGTTTCATCGTCATATCTTTAACGCTACAGTGTTCCTGGCTTGAAGATCCTTGTTGAGCTACTGCTTTTTCTCAGGGAACAAGTTACTTTCTCAGAGCCTCATGCGCAACTGTACCGAAAAATACTTGAGGTAGGTACTTAATTTTACTTTTACCGTAATCGTTCATTTCACTTCAGGACAAGAGGTTTCGAGCATTCTTCGCATTCGGTCTGATAAGTGATGACTCGATCCTCGTCGAATACTGTTTGAACCTTACGCCTGATTTAATGACTGTTGGCGTTGATCAAGCCAAACGGTACAAAGGCTGATGTTGCCTCTGAATCTCTGATAATAAATCTATTTGAAGCCTCAGCGAGAACATCGTAGCCGTTGTAAAAAATAGTTCTTCAGTAGACGAAACCACATCATCGGCTTCTAAGTCTAAAAGATTGTCAGGGCAGTTCGTTCTGCCAAATTACTTCCACACTGACAGCAGTGAATCCGCTGCCATTGACGAATTGATCAAAAGTTTTAAAGCAGGAAACTTGGTTTGTTTCCAGTGTATTATGCTTGTAGCTTTTTCTGCTACGTTTTTATTTTTTCTAGCAAAGCGGCAATATAATGATGTCACAAGTGATCGATGTATATGAAAGGAAACTCGCTGCATTGCAGGTAAAGCTGTATAGGGTATCTGTACAATAATTTATGGCATGTTGTGAGGAGTTAATTAGCATAAATACAGTTTATTTGCACCAAACGCAGAAATGTTGTCAGTTAGATGACTGACGAGTAACTACATTTCTGCGCATCCGTGACGAGTTTTCAAGGCAAGTGGGTTGGTTGACTGACTTCGGATGTCCTTCTGTTGTTCGCAGCAGGTGATTTGTATACCAGGAAGGCAAGTTTTGTTCGTGCTGTTCGTTAAGTAATTCCTTGGCGACCAGAGGCGTCAGCGCAGAAATTGTGTCCTTTGTTACGATTGACTTTTTCACAGGACTGATGATTAATGCCTTGATGCGGCTGTGCCTTTTTGGTGACGTCGGTACAATCTTACCATCAAGAATCCGTCCTTGCCTTACTGCGCATTGTAAAATCACGCCGGATGTTTTCACACTTTTCCTGGAAGAGGGTCTTTATCCCGGTGCTTCGTTACTACATGTCACCCACGATCGCTCGCGGTCATCCATCTTCTCTAGCTTCACACATGCCCTGTTCTTTGAGTGATTGTAGTATTTGTTTTTCCTGTGTTATATTTTCCCCAAATACTTGGTAATTTGTGAGCCCAGCCTTGATGGTAGTCATTCTCAGAATTACTTAAGAACGCATTAAGTTTATTAGTGCTTTAATATATAACGTTAATATTATATTTGCTATGTCATTTTGTAACATTTCAAAGCGGCTCGATTGACCATAGTTTTTGCATTGTATATAAATAAATCATGTTTCGTGTTGTTTTTCAGTATGACCACCAGTTTATGGACTAAGCACGCTGTCAAAGTTGTTAGGAGGAGGTTAATAATATTTACAATTGACTCGACTTTCCGTAAAATGTAGCGTGATTGACTAAGTCTGTCAGTTTGTCACTGGTGATTATTGAAAGTGTTGTTAAGAGAATCAAGTTCACGTATACGACCGCGAACGATAGCGCTTTTTGACTTTTTATTGCTTAAGACTAAGATTTTGCAGCTAGAATAGTACCACCAATTAACTTCGCTTTTCAGCATACGACGAAAAGGGGTCATATCACAGACGGAGATGAAAAATTTGTCATTACATGATAACGTAGGACGGTAAAAGAAATGAATTGAATCGCAATATCTATCATTTCAAACGAATTACGCAAATGTATAAAATAGTGGAAGACAACATGGTAGAAACAGGCAACACCGTGAAACGTGTGACAATGCAGTAGCATGACAACAAAGCAATGTTCCATGGAGCATAGTGAAATAGTGTTGTCTTGTGGATCCCTGCGACTGCACTTTAAATACTGTTTAACTACCTATCATAGTTGACCACCATGCAGAAGGTATCTAAGAAATTTTACTACAGGTCTTTGAATAGTGGTTGATAAATCTAACAGTCATATTCTTCATGCACCATAAAATTTTTCGCTTATGTGAAGGCCTGATAATCTGTCGCGTCTTATGGTTTAAGCGGCAATTTCAGCACTGCCAAAAGAATAATTAGATACTTTTTGGCTCATTGCGTGAAAAAACCTTTCTATTTAGATGAAGGAAAAGCAAGTTAATGAAGTTCTGAGAGCCAATAAAAAAGCTCTCCAGCAGAACGATCGTCTACTAATAAATAATCAAAACTCTCGACAGGAGGCAGAAAACGAGGTAATAAATTTCTTCATTACAATGCTTATTGTTATATATAAATTTTACTATTTTAGGCTGTAAAGTTGCGATCACTGTTACACGAGTCAGAGCGGAAGAGCGAAAAGACTTTCGTAAAACTTACAACCGCAGAGCAAGAAATTGCGACTTTAACGAAGCAGGTTTTACAACTGAACGAAGATATCAAAGAGTGTAAAGCCATCATAGAATCCTATAAGGAGAAGGAAGGGAACTACGAGATGAAGTAAAACTTTGTTGATTACACTCCATTTCAGTGTAGCTGTTTAGGATGCACACAGTTTCAAATTTTAACAGCTGATTGTTGAATCCTCATCGCCGACGTTGTCGTTGGTTATCATTTAATAGATGTCAGTAGCCATGGCAACTAATTATCGTTCTAGTTCGTTAAGCCACTAGTGATCGATAGTATCTCAAGCAATTTTTGTCTCTTTCAAAGGTTAAAATGGGAATGTCACCATCAGGCTATAGGTTAGTTTCGGTGCGACTGCGATGACAGTAATGGCTCCCGCTGAAAAATCTTGTTGCTATTCTGATTTCTTGTCGGTCAAATCAGTCGTTTTGTCGAAATTGTAAAGGTCGAACGAAGTAGCTGTTGCTTTTAGCGATGCTGTCGATCCCTTATCAATATCAGTATCTGTCAATCAAATTATTTCATATATAGTTTGGTTGGAATAGGGAAGAAACGCTTTACGAAAACTAGCTGCCGTTGCGATGGAACCGTAGGCAAGAATCTGTTTATAACCACTCATTGTTGCCACTTAATCATGATGTGGCGATGAATGGTTGTGTTAAATTCAAATTTTATTGCCTTAAATTTTTCTAAAAAGTCCTGACATGTGTCAGGTCCTGTCATGTGTGATAATGTAATTTTAACTGTAGAAATATGTTGGATTTTAAAGCGTTATTTAAATTACTACGAGTGGTGTGATTCGTGATTTTGTGGCTGAAACGTGGTCGTTTTGCGAAAGTGCGATACCTGGGGTTGCTGCTTACGATCAATAGAATATGGAACGCAGCGGCGGCGTACAGGTAGCCGGCGAATAATAGAGCGTGATGTACGTTCCGTACAGTGGCCACATATCCAATCGTACATGTATTATCTTTGGCACCGCACAGTGCCAGATTTTAAGGGTGGTAAAATTAATTATTCTTTATTTGGCATCGACGATGGATTCCATTCAAATGACATGTCGGATTATTCGATATCAGAAAATGTACATCGAACACAGAATCCTCGTTCGGGGCGATTCAAGACTGGAATGTTACTAAAAGAAATCAACCAAAAATTGGAGAGGTTCTTCTGTCCAGCATTAGAGAAGAAAAGTCGATATGGAGTGCATAAATCGCGCTGTTCGAACAAGTAGGTAAAGTTAAAGACTTTGGCAACAGCGACTTTGTCGACAGCGGCTCACCGTGACTTGATACGGGCGTATTAAGGGATAGGACCGTTTAATAGCGTTCAAAATTGCGTCTTCTTCCGAATGCTAAATGATTTTATGTATGAAGACGTAAAAAAGATTCTGTGAGGGATGTACAGGCGGATAATCAAGCTGTTGTCAGCCTGAATCACGTTTCATAATCGATGATTTAATAGCCAGGGGATCAACCGTTTACGCGAATTCATCAACACCTATGACGTAAGTTTAATGTAAGGGAATGCAAACACTGCAGTGAGACAAATTTTAGCAGATCTCAGTTATTGTAAGTTCGATGTCGAAGCAAGTCAACGATGGCCTGACAGCAAGGACCAAAATACTACGGTCTTTTTTCAAAAAGTATTTGACTTGGCGATGACGATGAGTCTTGCGGTTGTTGACAGATTTCGGCAGTGGTTTTCAAGATTTGGCTTGCTGAAGGTAATCGTATCGGGTAATAGACCAGCGTCTGTTCGTATAAAGTATATCATCCAAAAACGTATGAATGAGCGGAGAAATTCGTATCACTTTTAAAAATCGAAATAGAGCAGCGAGAAATGAGGAAACAGGCCATAATTGGCGATTCCATGCATTTTTGCTGACATTTCGAAATACCCCTCTCAAGATAACAGGATGATCACCAGTCAAAATGCTAACAGTTCATCGGTTTGCTATGCTGCTGTATCCAATTTAGTCGGATTCACTCATGGACGAAATCTGAATACGATAGATGGAAACAAAAGGCATACGACGCCAGATCCTGCGGGTTTCCGGTCAGAGACGATGTGTGGGCAAAGAGCGAATGCATAGAAGTGCGGTAGAATTGAAAATCTACTGGAAAAATTGTCGCATCAGATCATGTTAGGCGGTATAAGCATATAGAAAACACACAGATGAACTGTGAAGATGTGCGGGCGCGATCGATGACATGCCAATAATTGAAAACCTGAAACCTGATACGTAAGATCTCACTGACTTACGAATCGACCATCCCAGAGAACGGAATGCGACCCAGAACAGACAATATCAGGCCCCTCGACAGAGATCGAAGAAATTGTAGCCATTCTTACACCGTTACAAGAAGCGCCGTTAAGAAGAAGCTGACGGACAACTTTAAACAACTCGAGCAACTCGAAAATCGTGCGATGAGTAGCTGATAACAGATGCAAAAAATCGATCGGAAAATGCTTTACCTTATGCCACACGACAATGGTGTACAAGAATTCACGAACAGCAAAGCGTGACTCCTATTTCAAACACTGGTCACATGTGCGTTGACCGCCGTCATGTATGAAATCGTATATATGTTATGACGTCACGCCGTACAGCACCAGATGTTGTAAGGCGGCATTACCTTAGCGAATCTATTTACGAAATTTGTGATTGTTCACATTTCTCAGTGTTCTTCCTTATTTTT